TCCCTTGCTATCGCAATCACGGGTTAAAAACTGACTCCCTTACCGTTTCGTGTTGTATGGCAACGTGAGTGCTCAAAGGTCGGGATTTGTACGTCTCAAACAGTGTCGCTATCTGCCATGAAGACACCCCCAGTGCGGCCAGAAATAACAAAGTCCAAAAGATTTTCCTGACCAACTGTTTTGACGCGAGAATGCGAGGAGGCCCATGTCCTGATGTGTATTCAAAATAGTCCAGAATCAAAAATCGAATAGAATACTGTTTCTCGTCATCTTCTTTGGTTTCTTCCTCTTCAGAAGGTTTCGTGAAAGCTGTCTTCATTGGCTTTTCTATATTCTTCTTAAAGGAATTGATGTCTTCCATTGGGAATACTATATCGCTGTCACTCTTTTGTCCTTTCAGCATGGATGAATGTTTCAATATCAATCTGTTGAGAATGTAACGGATAAGGGAAGGTAAACAAGCGTGCTAAATAAAGAAAAGAAAGCAAATGAGAATTCTGAGCTTCTCTCTTGCACCTGTGAAACTTCAAGTCCATTTTCATCTCGTATTAGCTCGCAGAAGCTTTACCAATTAGCGCAGTCAGACTACACTCGAGTATACAGGATGGTCTATTTTAATCGTTTTTACGCGTAAAGCCACTGTGTTTTCATGGTGACCACAATGTTATTAACCAATGAAGCTATCAGAAGAGTGATATTGAATCAATAAAACCTAACTTAATACAACAACAACAATAATAACAACATCAGTATTTTAGTATTCCCATGGCATTGTATAAAAATAGTTAGAATATAGATCTGTATGTCCGCTATTGGAGCTGAGTTTGCGTTTCTTTTGTTTACATATGCACGGCTGGACATTATAGAAAACGTGTATCCCGGATGTTGTGTTGCCAACGCAGATTCTTTTCCTCTCAGATGTAAATGTTTTCGCTTTTTTTCATGCTCTAGCGCTGTATTTTAAACCATCAAAAATAAGCGACTTTTTAAAACATTTAGCTATAAAAAATTGCGAAAAAACTTTTCTTGAAATGTTTAAGAAATTTTTAAAAACGGTTTCACGCCATGTTTCGACGTTCTCGGACGTCGTTATCAACCAAAAAAAACAGTATGAATATTCTGTAAATACAAGAAAAACAATAGTTCATTGAAAAGAAAGGTAACAAAAAAATATGCTACAAGCTAAGCAAAGAGTTTAGCACTGATGGAGTCACTCTGAGTGTTAAGGCCAGGCCTGTGATCTGTGTGATGCAGAATATGTTGGTTCTACAGCCCGACAGCTTCATTAACGCATTGCCGAACACAAGTATTCGACTATCAGTAAACACATTTTAGAAGTGCACGGTGACAATTTCGTGTTCTCAAGAAGTGTCACGGGAAGTTTGACTGCCTCGTTTACAAAATGCTATTCATCAAAGAACTGAGGGCTAGCCTTGGTGACTTCATCAGTGCTAAACTCTTTATTTAGCTTGTAGCATATTTTTATGTTACCTTTCTGTTTAATGAGCTATTGTTTTCTTCTATTTATAGAATATTCATACTGGTGACCACATAGTGCAATTTTGAGGTCTGGAAAAACTACTGAACGCACTCGCTCCGTTAGTGCGTTCACGAACAGGTTTTCTACGCGTGCGTAATTTTCCTAGAGAACATCCTGGAACACCATCTTCTATTTGGCGAAGAACGGAAATTATATTGGTAAACAGCTAAATTTAAAACATCATATACTATTAATTATCTTTGAACGCAGGTTAGTATGTAGTTTTTGGATGTTTCCTTTTTCTGAGCATGAAGACCTCCGGGGGGTACTCCAATTTAAAAAGCACGTGGATGCTCGTCGGAAATTTTGAAAACAACCTCTAAAGGCTGGTTTTCACTAGAGCATAAGCACGAGCACAAGCATAAGCATAAGCACAAGTGAAAACAGTCACGACATAAACATAAGCATAAGCAGAAACATAAGAAGAACGAACCCACTTATTTGTCTTGTGCAGTTTTCATTAGTAACGCGCTCGACATAAGCATAAGCACAAGAAAAACGGTTCCTGAGAGGTACCAAAACTGTGTTTTTAACCCCTAAAAGGTACTTCGAGCACCCCATCCATTTTATATGAGAGTCCATCCCCCGGGATGAAGACGAAACTGTTAGGTAATTATGTTGTAGTTGTTTAGCCTTTACAGTTTGAATTTTACCATGGGAAAATGAATAATACAGTGTAAATTTTTTTCAGTTATATCATTTATAGCATATATAGCATTTGTATCATCTAGAAATGCTTTGCTACGAATTCTGATTCAATTTCTTTACATCTCCTCCTACCGGACAATGCTGTGGGAACACGAGCCGCAGGCGAGTGTTTCCACAGCATTTTCGAGTTCTCCCACACTTTCACGAGTAATTCTATAACGCGATAGAAACACGGAGAATATGTTTTCTATTTCTTTTAGAAAACACCGTGACGAAAGAAAGGAAAACAACTTGTTAACTTTGATCATCAAAATGTAAATTCTCCCGTTTGCTAGCGCCATTATTACGTCAACAGCTCGTGCTACTAGTTCTGTGTTTCTATCGAGTTATAGAAACACGATTTTTAACCAATCAGCGCACGTATTTTCTTAGGAATGTTGTCTAATGATATATAGAGCACTTCTTTCTTATCGCGGTTCCTGTATGTTAAATGTGGCGCCCTTTATCCATTTTTCCCTTGATAGGATTTCGAAGGAAACAATGATTTTATCTAGTAACTCCACTCGATTGAGACACTCAAACAAGTGTCATCTAACCAGTGAAAAAAGTAGCCTAGAACAGTGGGTTATAAAAAATAATAACAATAAAAAAATAATGAAAAACAGCAACAACAACAAGAAAACATGTAATGACTGCAAAATTCTTTTTTCTTTAAGTATGAAGTTCACTTGTCCTTGAAAGTATGAATTTAATATTTTAACTTGTGATATTTTTTTTAGCTCTACGACAACAAAGAATTACGAAAAACAAAATAGCGTGCGAGTGCATATTGGTCTCTTTATATAGGCCCGTCGTGGTCACAGCTGACTTCCGTTCAAAAAGAGTAATTCTATTTTCAATTTAGTTTCATGAATTTTTTATTATGTTTGTTTAGCTGGCTAGTAAATTCGATATGACAAAACAAAAATTCAATGTATTCGGCACTAAAAACGTAAAAAATTTGTCAAATTAAACGACTCAGAGCCTTTCTTATCAGTTCAGGTCAGGTACAATCTGAGATACAATGGAAAAATTCAATGCATAATTGGGAAAACTGCTTTTTGTCTTGAAGTTAACAATTCTTAAGTTGCGCTGTCGCTGGAAATATTAATTATCTTAGTTTTGTTAAGAGTCGAGTACGTTGCTAAAATGGCCCCTAGCGTTTTCTGTTGTCAATTCAAAATAGCAATTGTACAATAATAAGTATTGCGACATGAACAAGATGTTTCGAACCAATTAGTTGTTCCTTGGACAAGGAGCAAATAATAAGAAAATTAGTTCACCTGTAGGTCCACAAAACAGGCAAAATCAACGCATTTTAACAAAACTAAGAAGTTAACACCTTTTACTTAAAAGGTAACTTGGTTTGAATTTCCATAGTTCACTTCTCATTTACGGAGTCACAATTAGAGACCTTTTTAAGCAATACTGAGTAACTTCGTGATCGACAGCTGGAAAAATGCTCAATTCTCGAAATATGACTTATTGGGAACATATGCTGTGTGTTACAATTTAAATGTAAGGAAATCTAACCTTTACAAGTCTTCTCTCAGCAACGTGCTCTTCAGTCCTTCAGTGGTGTGCTATATCGGCCGTCTAATGAATTCAACCGACTCCAAAGATCAAATATTTCTTGTTCAAACAGCAGGACTTAAAACCTAAAGCAACCTTGATAGGGACTGTCTTTAAAAGAACAACCGGAACACGTATTTCCCTCGTTGAGGTATTAAACAGCAGTTTACTGCCCTAATGACTCGATCTGTGCGCATGGAGTCAAAACATAACTGACGTCAAGCTTATGTTACCTTCCTATGCAAAACACGTTTAGCTGTCAGCATGTATTAGTTATCCATGACTTACCATTGATTTTGCATAAATAAACCCCAAATGACAGTCCATGATTTGATTGCTTTGTTCATTGAGTATTCATGACAACAAAAACTCGCGGTAAATACGTGTTGTCTTAACATGAATGACACCCTTTTACGACAATACGTGATGTGTTTGGCTTTTTCACGAACCAATCATGAATGCCAATCTGGGGAATACGATAAAGCAAATTAAAAAATTAAATCTTTCCGGCCGCAAGCTTACAGTCTGATCTTTCCGGGGATAAGATGAGATGACGTTAAATCATATCGTCCACACATCGATCTTATTTTCCGGTTAAGCGAACGAGCAAAAACAACAAAAATTTGAAAGTAGCTTTTGAACTCTCTTAGGCATTCAAATTTACCGTTATTGTATAGTTAGCACCCAAACAGGATATCAACTTCGAAAAGAAATTAAAAGGACTTAAGGAATTGTCTTGAGCGAAGAACTGATCTTGTTAAACGGTTTGCGTGCGTTTGTCCATTGCTAGCTAGCAACGACTAGAACAACAAAATCACGTCCCACGCTCCTTACTAAGTGACCTCGCTGCACCCCGTGTGTTGTGAGCATGTTTTGATTGCATAATTGATGCATGATGTAATCGGTTTAGGACTTCGGATGTTCGTGCGTGTACCCTCGCCTCCGGCCGGTTTTTACACTCTTTTTTTTATATAACAGCCTTTTTTCTAAGAACGTTGAGGCTGAGATTAACCAAAATTTTAAGAACGTATTAAGAACATTTCTCAGCCTGAGAGTCGATTAAGAACGTTTCTATTTTGCTAACCTGTATATGTATTAAATGACAAGCATAAAATAAAGTAGCCTGCATGCAGGCTCACCTTTGAGTCACGCACGCGAGCGGCGAAGCAAAGCGATCCGGAAGGAGTCTGGTGAAGTGGCGCCAAGATAAAGGTAGCAAAAAATGTAAAATTAACTCAAATACTTAAAGGGCATGTTTTGTATAACATTAAATATGTTTTTCTTGCATATTGTATGACGCACATCTCGGTTTGTAATAGTCAGCAGCTCTTATTTACAACTGTTTCAAAATAACTTCCACACCATCAAAGTCATCAGGTGACACAAAGTCTGAAGTATTATCAAGGCAGTTGACCTTGTATACATCTTAAGAACGTTTTCAGCTTCAAATCGCCAAAAAAAAGGTAGGAACGTTCAGCTCCAAAAATAGACGTTCCTATATAAAAAAAAAGCGTGCATTTTCGGTTGGATTTCCAGAGTGGTCGATTATTACATTTATTCACAAGCTATTTCACTCTAGAAACGTTGAAACTTTCAGTGCCCATTTATTCATGCCTTTAGTATATTCTGATATGGCCAAGATTTTTTTCCCACGGTTATTGACGTTGCCTCTCTGTAGTCTCAAGTACTCAAACACTTGCTGACAAAATTAATGAATTCAGGGACTTTTCAAGGAGAAGATTTAAATATCCAAGGAGTTTTGAAGGATATGGCAACATTTGCAGTGTTACTTCAATTTAGCATTTTTACTGTTTTGGAGAATAGAAAGTTTTGTACCGAATTCTATTTTTTATTTATTTATTTATTTTATTTTATTTATTTATTTATTTATTTAGAGTAGTAGTAGAGTAGTGTTGAATCATACCCAATAATCTCCCAATAACTTAATGCTTCAACTAACTATGGTCAAAGAGCTGAAGCTTTTTTATTCACATATTACCATAAAGAATCTCAATACAACTAGACTTGCACGAAGGACTTTTCTGAAAGTCTACAATGCAACTTTCGTAAGTAATGTATCAGTCGATTCCAGGGGTGCCCATGCCCTCCCTCCCGGCCAACCTCTGCAAAAAATAAAAAGATAAAAAAATAAAAAAAAAGCCGGGACAAACTAGCTGTTTAAAGACCCTAGGGTAGTGATTCAAAAAGGTTCAGTATGTTCTTCGTTTCTCGTCTTACTAACTAGGTCTTTTTTCCGGCCGTAAAAGTAAAGCCCATAGCTCATTCCACAGGTCTAGCGTCTCCGGCATTTCTGTCTTATATAGAAAAGTTTTAATTAAGAAACTTACCGTATTTACCTGGCAATGATTGAACAAACGTGATGGTCAAATGGGCCGGGGTATATAGGTAGAGGGCTTATGCCTGACACCCGAGATGGACAGTGTGAGAAAACGGCCCTCTATTGCCGGGGGTGGGGGGAGGAATGAGCACAGCTGGCAATGACTGATGTATGCAAAAATTTCAACTGCAAGAGGCTGCAAGTTTTAGATGCATAGAGCGTTTTCAAATGACGTCACGGCAGCCTTGTTGGTGTACCAAACCAATCCAGTTGGAGTTGAACTCTTTTCTTATGTTAACACTTTCTTTTGTTCCAATAAATTTGCATGTGTGCTGGCCACGTGAGTGAAAACGTTCTGTACCGAGTACTGGATATGAGCTTTTCACAGATAAACAATAGATAATTGTTAAAATTAAAACAACTCTGATTTTTTTGGATTTACACCTGTTGATTGATGCCTTGATGATCAGGATACTTTCATTTTGCACTGCTGTCCAGTTCAAGGTTTGCAAGAACGTTCAACTGAAAATTACACATAACGAGAAAAAAAACCGTTATTTAGCTAAGCATGTTTGTCAAGTATTCAATAAAAAGCATAGCATAAACTGATATTTATATTGCTCAGAAGCGCTTTCCATTCAAAGGCAAATTCCGGTTTGAAGTCGGGAAATTTCCAGTGACGAATGGAATTTTAGGAAAAGACGGGATAACCTAGCCTTGCGAGATATTCTGAAGTAGTCGACAGTTTCTTACCGGAAATTTCTGTTCAATTCGACTTTCCTTCCTGGACCGGATTTCCCGAATTTTCAGTCCAACGGTTCGTTTTTCATTAAGTCAACTTTTTCCGGATTTTCTGGAATCTCTTCCAGGAAATTTCCGTACCATTTGTCCTCGTTTCGGAATTTGAGGAATTTCTGGCTGAATGGAAAGTGCCTCATGATCGATTCTGTGTGGTTACTACACAACATTGTTCAAATTGTTTTATGTATCGCGTTAAAATGAAGCGTATTAACAAAGGTGACCAGGCATTTGTGGCGTTCTCTTCCATGCAACACCGCCTTTATATCCGTTCCGGTACACGACTTGACTCGGCTGTTTTCTTAGCTCTGCAGGTTTTAAATGCTGTGCGGAAGAGTAGCATGAAAAGCTCCAAGAATTCAGCCATAGTCATAACAGAGAACCCAATCCACAGACCCAACTGACCGCCAATGTCGGACACGAAATCTTTAATCTGTTGATGGCAAAATACAGTCCTCAGATAAGAGATGGGTGTGGGGATGCACGTATGTATTCCAGGTCAAAAGAACATTCTTTTGTATTGTAAGATCCTCAGTTTCCTTTCTTAAGAGTAACACTCGGAAAGGAATTGGTTTTCCGTAATAAAAATTACTGTTGAGGTATTAATTTTCTAATTTTCATCTTGTCTAGCTTTAGAGCTGGCATTGTACATGGCAGTTCCTCCCCCCCTACTCTACAACCTAGTTATAGCCGTGTTGACATGGTGGTGGTAGTTATGTTTACGGGGTGGCTGTAGTGCGGACAAAGTTCCAATAGATTACACAAAGAACAGGCATAAGAAAAAGTTCAATTTGAGAAGTACCACCAATTCTTCAGACGTCATTCATCATAACAGGGTCCTGATAAGCTAAATTATCACCGTCATACACTAGGCCAATCTTACATCGCCATCTGAACTATGGAGTTTACCGAGCTCGTTTTTGAGTTGTAACCACTTAGAACAAAAAATAACGGAGTTAAACAGGTTGTACTGTTGCTACGGTAACCTATTAAGCCACAAAGATTACATTGTTGCTTTACCAAAGGCTGGGCGTTTATGTTACACCAATACAGTCGCGTTGCTTAATATACTATGGTAGTATTGATGTGTCAAAGTATAGCTGTTGGAAAGATCCTGGAAACTGCTTCCAGCCACCTTAACCGACCTGAGTGGCAAGGGAAAATTAAAACCCTCATCAGTCTCAACCATGAACAAAGCTTATGTGGCAAATCATTCCACGTAGTGGTTTTCTAAATTCGAACAATTTCCTATTGTTTCAAACTATTTTGAATGTAAACCGTTCCATCGAAAATATCCTAAGTAAAACTGGTAAATATCAAAATGTTATTTACCTGTGAGATCCATCTTTGGTAAACAAGAATTTGTTTTTCCTCTCTAAATCAGACTGGTAGATTGACTAAAAAACAAGATGAGGTATTACCCAGATAGGGACTGAGTACGTAACTGTAAATTGCGAATACCAATGTCAGAATAGATAGCGACAAATTACTACTCAATAGTACAGTTTTCAATTGTGTGTCGAAAAACCAAAACCTATGAGGGTGAGCGCGGGAAAACGTGTGTGAGCGAGTCATTATTGGTTTTGGTTTTACTTCTGATTGGATGAAAAATTGGGAGAGTTTTTAAGCCAATCGTGTGGTGTAATAATTCATACCAATGACATTTGGACAGTCAATTAAAAAAACACTCTTATTATGTAACTGAGAAAATTACTTGACTGGCCGAGAGCAGGCCAATTTCGTTAATTTCTGATTTGCACTGCAGTGCACTTTAACGGGCGCGCTTATGTGATTTTCCCAGTCATATGATACTGATATGACTAATGGTATGAAGGTTCGAGTAATTAACTCTATAAAGGATTTACAAACGGCAATTCTCAATTAACAGAATAGACTTCTAACAGGTGTATTTAGATCAAAAGTTTCTAACATTTTTTTCGCTTTGAAAAGCCCAGCCTTAAAAAGGAGTCTACAAATTGTCGTATAACTACCGTGTTTTCACATGTTTCCCAATTTGAAATTTTTATATATAATATATTTCTTTCCAATGATCTTTTTGTCGCTGTTTTTTAGTATTACTTTATTTTGACATATCTCTGTAGTTTTGGGTTAATATTGTGCCGAATTTTTATAAAGTCGCGCGCAAATTGTCAAATATTTTGGAGAGTTGAAAGTTTGATAAAAAAAGGGGGGTCTCTGAGTAAGTTTTTGTTAATTCGTCAACTAAGAAATCAATGACGTAAGAGATTAATTAAGACTCAGTGCAATTGCTTTAAAGTAAAACGCATAGTACCTTTTCAATTCTCTCACGAAAAGTCTCTTATAAATTCGAACGGCTCATTTACGTCTCGTTCTTCTGGTCAGCTTACAAACTTATCAGTAAATCAAAACGTGAACACAGAAAGGGACTCGCTTGTCGTCAAATTTTCTATCAACATGGCTCCTGTCCATCAGACGACTTGAACTGTAGCTGTATTTCCTCAGTAGAATAATTAATTTAAATTTTCAGGCCTTAGAACGTTTTAACAACACCTTGCGTTTCGCCTTTCCTATCCGCGGGCATGTTACAATTGTAATTTTAATTTGATAACAAATAAAATGTATGTATATATGTAAAAATGTATGTATGTACATGCTTCCCATGTAAATAAATAGACACAACCTTAGTTGCCAAGATTGTTTGTATAAATTTGTTTCACGATGCCAGCGCATGTGCACGTGTTCTCAGAGGAACTGACATCGAATAGAAGTCTGCAACGCTACATTATGTTTCCTGCTTTTTTATTTATAGGTAAAGAGACTAAAACTAGCTGTTTGCTTTTTATTACATCCTCTCTTTGCAATTACATCTACTGATCACAGTTCCTGATCCATGGCTTAAAGACGAAATGATTAAAAAAAAAAACATTTTTAATATATGTTTGTAAATTAGGTAATGGAAAATATTCCCAATCTTGTTAGCTCAGTCCTGTCAACCTTTTATTCCCAGTTAAATTATTTTAAGCTGTGAGTTCCAGAAGTCCTCATTGGGCTAAACGTTGTCAATATAAACAAATAATCGGCCTTCTTTTTTTCCTTTTAAGCTGCATCATTTGGTACTAGTTACCATATTAAATTATCATAAATATGGGGGACCCCAGTCCTCCAAACTGAATTGGAGTGCCAGCAGAAATTTTGGCTTTAGCAGAAGGCCCGGGAGGAATTAGGCGAATATAACTGGAAGTAGAGCCAGCAAAGCATGAAGGGAACTAACAAAGATACAACAAATATTGATAGCGGAGCCCCGTACCCATATGGGAAAGAAAAAGAAACCCATGAATTGATTTTCTCATGGTTATCATGGCTAGCAGTATTGCTCATGGGCGCGTACGCACGACGACGACGGAGTCTCGCAAGATGGCGGCCATACTCCAGCTAAAAGGTTGACAGAAACATGCAGCCTTGATTTATAGCCCCTTCTTTGATATTGGACATCCATGGTCAATTGACACCCGTCAAAACGAGGTATCTGCTGACCAGTATCACGTGACCATATCGCCGGATCAAGTTCAGAACTCATTGATGTCACGTATTTTTTGAAGTTGACCGCTGACCAAGTGCTGGTTTTCTATTGGATCGCAGACTCATGTCAGGTTAACTAGTTGTAAATGGGGCCGGGTCGTTCCAGAGCTGGTTAACGCTAACCCAGGATTAAAAGTTAACAGAAGTATAAATATTTCTTGTATACAAATATTTTTCACTGCTTTTGTTTTGTGTATTTTTGAGATTATTCAAACTCAAAACAGAAGGCCAAACAACATACAGAAAACCTCACTGCAAAGTTACAAAACTCAAATCAAAATTCTCGCTTAACCTGGGGTATCTTAATCGGGCTTTGAATAACCCGGCCCATGAGCTCCGCTTTTAGGCTAGGCTAAATCTATATATTATGGGTTAAGAACCTGCAATAAATAACCGTTCGTTGACTTAAGCTCGTGTATGGATAAAGCTGATAAGCATTACCTTAGCTATTGTATTTCTTTCCAAAGGACCAAGAGGATTCGTCACTTGAAAGTCTAGCAACAACAACAGCTGATCAACTTGTAATTCAATGCACGATTTGTCCATTGCATGTTTTAAAAAACTTGATGTAGCTTGATGTCGTTGAGTTTATTATTTTCCAAGTGAACCGCTTAGATAATCTTTCTTTTTCAATTTCTTCAAACCGAAAATAACAAATTAGTGCCTCTTTGGCTATGTATAAATAATGCGTCGAAAAGTAACAAATGATGATGATCAGAGCAGATAAAAGTGAAGGATTTTCCTCTATCCTCTAGATCCGATATGGGTTGTTTTTTGGCTCGGCTGTTTTCTTAGCTCTGCAGATTTTAAGCGCTGCGTGGAATAGCAACATGAATAGCTCCAAGAACTCCGCCACGGTCAGTACAGAGAATCCAATCCACAGACCCAACTGACCGCCAATGTCGGACACGAAATCCTCAATCTGTTGATGGCAAAGTGTAATCACTTAATCAGAGACAGGCTTCATCTCAGTCTTGCATCAAATACTATGCTGTTCTTTATCAAAAGTATAACGGAAGTTGAATTTCGCTGATAAAATATCCATTGCTTTTAGCAGCCTTCCTTGTAGACAATCTCACATTTAAGCAACCGACATCAAATATCAAAATTAAAGTTTCCCATTTTACGTATAGATAAACCATCGCAACTTTCATTCTGATGTATTCACGTAGGGATGGGAATGTTTCGAACTGACAACTGAACTATCCCTTACTTGCTTGTGGAGTTTGGTGTTTAAATCAAATTAACGAAGTAGGCCTACCTCGTAAGACCGCTGTTCAGTTATCACCTCCAAGTTAAGCTCCTCATAGAACACTTGCAACTTGCAAACATTTTTTCTGTGCAATTAAATAAATTAAATAGACGTGATGTGTTTCATCATTTTGTTAAAAATATCTTAAATGTATCAGTAAGGGGTAAAGAGCATTGACTAGTAATACTCCAATAACTTCCTACGTATTCATGAATCGGGACTTTGTTTAACATTGTAAGGAAACCTTAAATTTACTTTGTATGTACAGGGTGAATAGGCAATGTGCATGATGGCGTCATTTGACTACAACTACCAGATTCCTTCACTCTTTCTGTTTCTTATGTTAATCAGTAACCTATGGACATGCATTCTGAATTTTCAACAATGGGTGCACAGATGTGAAACCACGACGAGCTAAAAGAGATGAGCTTGACATCGGGCGAGGCACACCATGCTGCGAAGGACAGGATCGTTGATCGTTGACCTCTCATGTCCTACCCGGGATGAAAAGGACTAAGGAGGAGGAGTGAAACAACCCCTTGCATGCTTGGATGACGTCTACCCGACTATGGTGGCCACCTTTATCCTAAGTTCTTTTACGTTTTAGAATAGTCTGGAATGTAGTAAGGATGTTTAGAGAAGGGTACTCTTAGCCCAAAAGCTATATTTGATTATCGAATCGATTTACCTGTGAGATCCATCTTTGGTAATTAGTTTATTTTTGTTCTTTAACTCCTCTGTATAGATTGGCTAAAGAAGGAGAAAAAAAGAACTAAAGAATTACTTAG